TCTCTCTCTCTCTCTCCTCTCTGTACGTGTCAAAGCGAGAGATGAAAGATGTAAGCATTCTTTTAACAAGTGACTAGATGATATGTTGCGACGTGCATGTCTATTCATAGCATACTGATTTTTCCCCTAGACCGACCCACGCAGTCTGTTATACAGCGTAACCGACGAACGACGGTGAAAACAAGTTCAGTATTTAGTATGTTAGGTATTTCAACCAACTAATATATAGTTAAAATATTTGTTTTTTCTACAAGCTTTATTATCACACAAGTGAATAAAGCTTCGACATTTTATGTAACGATAGATAATCGTTTTAGGAAAAACTAGACACGTTGTAATACTAGCATACATTAGGGCAACGTAAATCAGAGTGATAAAACCGTAATCATACATTTTATTTCATTAATCGTCGCTCGTTGGTAATGAGTTTATTGCACCGCTAAATCGACTCACCCGAGAGCTGCAGAGATAGAATCCGCGCGAGAACATGACAATTAATAATTAACGATTCCGCGGCAATTTCTCTACGTTACGTAAGCAGTACGTGTGTAGTCCGTCACGTAAACAGAACGTGTGTATTCCTTTGCGTAAACAGTATGTGCGTATATCACGTAAACGGTACGCGTGTACACCGTTACGTAAACAGTATGTGCGTACTACATCACGTAAGCAGTACGTGCGCACCACGTTACGTGAACAATACGTGCGTACTACATCACGTAAGCAGTACGTGCGCACCACGTTACGTAAACAATACGTGCGTACTACATCACGTCAACGGTACGTGCGTTCACCGTTACATGATTCAGTTTCTCTTAAATTGTAAAAGTAAGCGCCGCAGATAAGACATCTACACCTAAAATTAGCATCACTATGAAAATACAATTTGTTGTTTTGTTTAGCTGTTATACCGGGGAAGTTTAGATAATAGTTCAAGCGGGACGCGAGGGAAACCCGCGCTAGTTATTCAAAGTTGCCATCGCATAGCTCTATCTATCATTAATGACTGAACATATTAGCATTATTAACATATTAACATAATAGCGGTTATTAATTTTAAAACCCCCAAGTTATAATCACTCGGGTTAGTAATAAACCGTAGGTAGAAATATAGATATTAGCTAATGATGATGATGGACTGCAGCAGCGGACACTGCTTCCTATATCATGTAACGAATCAGACACTAACTGCGATTGTCAGCTGACGTCACTAGTAATTATGCAGCTGACTGCCTAACTTACCCCGCGAAAGAACTGGAGTTGTTAGGTCTAATTGAATAACTACAAGGCGGAGACAATATTGCCGTACAAATGCGTTTGCTAATACTTTATCTGTGAGCGTAGAGAGATTATTGATCAGGCCGCTAAGATCGCTCTAGTCGATCACGGCAATCTAAACAGAAGCTGTCAGCCTTGTTTGGAAGAGATGAGAGATGATGTACTTTTACTGACATCAAATAAATTATCATAAGTAGCCGCATATTTGATTACGCGCCATATTGGAAATTTCTAAAAATGTCCGCCGTTAAAATCTGGCGTCGTCAAATCGGATTAGGGCGCGGCAGGTTTGTTATACGAGCTACCGTCATCCAGTGCCATCATTTTCAAGCGATAACTAGATTCGAACGAAAGATGCCGCCAGCACTCAGCAATATGAGCCAGCGCTAAACTTGGAATCTGAATTTTAATGTCCTCTTCCTCACACTAGCACACTCGCCGGCACTTACGCACGAGCGAACGTACGCGCGCATGCACGAAGAGTGCACGCACGCGCGCACTCGCACGCATGTACGTCAGCGCTGCAAGCATGCGTTCATGCACAATAAGCGCACGCGCACGCACGCACGCACGCATACATGCTAGAATTATCTAGTGTTTACTGACATCCAGACACAACCAAAAGAAATCTCTTGGCGGTTGCTTGTCTAGGATGAGAGATACTAGTATTCGGGTTATAATTGTTCAGGGATTTATAAACGAATGCTGGTCGCATTTTCAATTGATTCATGCAAAGATTAGGGGAATGAGAGATGTGGGGGATAATGCTCTCGTAGCTTACAAAACATGGACAAAAGTCAGCCACATATGTACGGCAAGACGGTTTGCGTGTGCCTTAGTATATGCCAAAATGAATCGTAGTCTGTTAAGATTTTACATTTAAGAGGACGATACAGTAGATATCAGAGAGCAGTCTGATATAATGAAATTGTGTCACGATGACTTTCTTAATTAATGGGAGAACGCTTGCATGGTACTCGCGAGATTCCCTCTGGGCACTCATTCTCTGCTGCATGTATCTGTAAAATCTCAACGAAATACTCATTTGGCAGACATAAAGCATGCGCGAACCCAGATCTAACTTTCTGAGACATTAGTGCATATTTAAGAATTTTTTCTGTTTTGTAGGCTTAAATCGGGGTTCGCGCATGCTCAGTATCAGCCGATAGAAATAGAAATAAAGGTATAGAATAGAAATAGAAATAGATTTAAAGAGAAGAGTGGATACCTGAGAGCACTCTGATGTGATAAAATTACATCAGTATGACTTTCTTAACTAATGGGAGAACGCCCTAGCTTGCATGGTACTCGCAACAGATTCATTCGGGACACGTATATACTCTCTCTACTGAATGTACATGTATATTTTCACAGAAATACTTTAATTTTTCGCAATTTAAGCATGCGCGAATCTAGATATAACTGTTTGCTATATTAGCACATGTTCAGGAATTTTATCAAATTCCATCAGATTCTTCATCGGCTAAGATCTGGCTTAGCGTATGCGTTGTATCTTCCCAAATTAATTTTTTAATGCGATTATACATATTTAAAATAGTGTGTGAGTGGCAGATCGTAGTCTGACGTCACAGACTGACTCGCTCAGCTAATTATAGGTAGAATAATAACGAGAAAACTAATCAGACATGAATTCTCACTACAGCATCAATCACACGAAATAATTGGCGATTAGGCTAGATGAATTAGATTGCTTCTCAGCCTCCAACACCATAGGTAACTGACCTTGCTAAGTCGCGCCAATGTAAATCCAATCATGTTTCCTCACGCGTCCAATGAATCATGTACTTGCTTTCATCTATATGTAATGTATTAGCGATAGGTTATATCACGTGCATTGCTATGCATCCCCGAATGTTGACTATATAACACCGGGGCATATATACACTCCATACATGCGCACCAGTGTCTTAAATAATACACTTAAACGATGTCTTCAAAATAACAGTAATCTGCCTCTTTGTATCAGTATCTGTATCACGTTAGTTGACCCCGCGGAGGTATCGTATATATGCATGCGTAAATATTGGGTTGATTTCAGTAAAGAAATCGAATAACGTCAAATAAAACCTTATCGTTAAACTAATAGCTATTGATGGACGTTTCACGGGCTCACACGAACAGTGTGTACTAGATTCTGCAAGAGGGAACTCTTCTGTATCGGTGAAATCTCTCTGACCCATCTCGCTGTAATACTAGAGCTGGCATTTACAGCACACGGCACGGGGCGACTATTTTACAGCGTGGCCGTGCACGAGCGGCGCTGTGATGTGTGGACGTGACACTGAGCTGTCTGCAAACGTAAATGGTTTGCTCTCAAAAATCTGTCAAAGTGCCGGGCGCGCGCGAGGCAGAGACTGCGTCATTACTGCCGCACGTGCGAGCGCCACACGATGCTCACCTCTCTTTCTACCATCTCCTTCTCCACTTTCTTTCAGCCTCCTCACTCTCTTTCTATATTTGTCGCTGTTTATTCCTCCTTATTTCGTCCCTAATTTCTAGTGCTATTTATCTCTCTCTAGCTCTTTCTCATCCTCCTCTTTCGCGTTCTCTCTCTCTCTCTCTCTCTCTCTCTCTCTCTCTTTCTCTTGCTCCTTCTGTTTCTTTATTTGTCGCTGTTTCTCTATACCTATCACTTCCTCTCGTGTTCATTCACTCTCGCTCTGTCTCGCTCTTCATCTCCCCTTCCTTCCCCCCTCTTACTCTCTCCGACACTCGATATCACTGCTCTTTAGCTATCGAACACTGAGGAAACACACACAACTGATGCTCTTCATCACAATCGAAGCGGCGGCTGCAGATTACAATCTGACTACTCTAGTTCTGCCTGATTCTGAAATTACATCGCGCTAGTCTGTTCCATTAGCCGAGTATGCATTGCTGCGTGCCGCAAAGTTGCTGCTAGGGTTTCTCGCTCAAGTCAAACACGTGCCGACACTCACACACACACGCTCCCACGCACGCACGCACGCACGCACGCACACACACACACACACGCACACACACGCACACACACGCACACAGCTAACGCACGGCCACGCACCGCACGCACGCCGCAGAGCGACGCACCGCACCACACGCATGCACGCACGCCGGCCGCGCGTGAGAGGTGGTAAATTAATTGCGGCACGATTACGACATCCATCCACGTCGCATCTCCAAGAGTCTCACCTCCAATATGTCGAGCCTAATGATACCCTGATGAGATTGAGCTTCCGCTGATTACATTTCCAGCCGCCCTGCTGTGTTCAATCAGGACGAAATATTACACGCAGATTTCACCAACAGAACCGATTACATGCGCGACTTGACAATAAAATCCATTGATGGTCCATGATTAACGGGGCATCGCATGTTACATCAAGAGGCTAATAATACCTAAATACTAATAAATACCATACTATAATAATAAGAGGGATTATTAGTGCTGAGTACATCCTTGATAGTACTTACAGATGCATACTGTATATTCTATGATATCTTACGATGTACATGATACTGTACATCGTTCATGTATATATCTATATGTACATGTACATGTACACTTCATATGTATATCTTATATACTAATGAGTGTTATATCATGTGCGTGTCCTGTATATGCACATGTTCAGGTATATGTATAAGTATTATATGTACATTTATGGCATGTTAATGTACAAGTACATGTATATGTATATCTACAGTGTAATGTACATGTACATGTTTATATGCATATGTACATGTATATGTATATTTAACATGTACATGTAGATGTTATAATTATTGTTATATGTTACACATGTACATGTATATGTATATCTATATGCTCATTTACTATATGTGTATAATATACTATTATGTACACGTAGAAGAGCCAAACAAGCTGCAAGTCATTTTATATGTATAAAATAAATTATTATCCACCTTCCAGTTTTTTGTTGCATGTTTTAGAACTACTAAATGAAGAACCACTATAGAATCGAACAACCTAAGTTCTAACAATCAACAAGTTAATTTCAATCATTTAATTATGCACATATTTGCTATCATTTTTAAAGTGGGTGTTCACCATTGTGAGTACAATCGAAGGCAATGGGCGCATCATCGCACAAGTATTAGTTATTACTTGCCCACATAAAATACGGACGCATGCAGGTTTTATACGCAGAGGAATATACAGCGTAACAAACATTCGCGGCCGTTAATTACAATTTACTAATATAATATGTACAAAGATATGATGCAATACGACGTAGCGCGATCACACATACCCGTACGGCACAGTCACGATACAATACACTTATCTAAACTCACACGGTAGATACAGATATGCAGCGGTTAAATTAGCAAAATAGCTAGACACGATTTTTTCAAATTCACTTGAATTCATCGTGTAAATTTCATATTTAAAATAAATATTCAAAAAATATTTCAAAAAAAATATTGCAATGGCAGCGAATTCACGGGTAATAACAAATTATCAAGAAAGTCATACATATTCATAAGCTGCCAATCGAAGTTATAGAGGAAAGAGTTGAGAGTAAGCGTTAACTGCGAACGCGAGCGGAGGCGAACGGCAGCGGGGGAGTGTGGGCAGCTGTTTCCTCAAGCACCAGGCAGCATTTTGAGGCAATTTTAGGCTTGAAATTGTGCAATACCTAGTGAGTTTTTAAACATACACATGAAGTAGATGGATACAGACTGTACTGTAGTTCTGTTTGTATGTGGATTAGCGGCAATATATATAGTATTATATATATATATATATATATAATATATATATATATATAATATATTATGAATTTGACTCAAAAGTTTCTGTTTGTTTGTATGCCTGTGAGAATTAATCAGACCCGGAGTTGAGAGAGTGAGATTAGCTTCACGCCAAAAATGCGCGGAAGTTGGGCAGCCGCTGTATTCATAATAACAGGCAGCGTATAATGACAAATTTTGTCATTTGTCATATACGCTCCTGATAATAACGAGGCCTCGTGTAACAGCAGTGCCACAAGTGTGTGATGTCAGCCAGTGTGCTAAAAATGGGAAAACTAATTGCTAAGCTTGCGCGAACCTTCATGCTTTTGCGAATTTTTGCTGGCTCCCATAACAAACTATGAGCGAAAAACTTACCAGAATTTACCCGTTACGGATTAATAATTCTACACCGCAAATAGCTTCGCGTGCGACCCGCGAATTGTACCACAAGCAATTTCGAAAGGCACTCATCTCAAGAACATGACGATTTCTGGTTTAGGCAAGTTTTAGTATTTTTTTAAAACAATCCGCGCTTCATTGATTCTGCATGCCATGCAATCCAAGGCCCATCAAAAAGGGAATCCGATAAAAACAGTATTCGGCTCGAAATCACATTCTGCGTCTGCGCCTCGAGATGAAGTAGAAATATATTCACACGCTCACGACCATTGTCTGTGGATAACTGTTATAGGCCGTACGTTCTCTACACACGCAGCAGCGCGAAGACTCTGCTGGTTTGACTTGAAGGTCGACGCGCGTCTTTTCATGACAGGATGTGAATACACCGCGAAGCGCAGCCTAATTATAT